GTCAATAAATCTTCTAAACTTATTCTAGAGATACAAGGATCCATTTCGATGGAAGAACTCTGTACAAAAGCATTTTCTTTTACGTTCCTATGGTATGTTCACATATAATTTAGAAAACTCTAATCATTTTCTTCCGATATTTTGTTTTTCGACATACCTGACTCTTCTTTAATGACTCGCCACATTGATCACATGCAAAAAACACCATCTAAACAATGCTTGTTTTTTGTTAGACATTAAGCCTAATCTCATCTGCAGGTACATCAAAGTTAAGCAACTTTATGAGGACATCCATAGTCTTACAACAACATATGTATGTATGTTTATTGCCACTAATCATTGTATCAGTTCGTCAAAAGAAGATGCGGGAACTTCCTCAAATGCACTGCACTGAAATTTCAAACAAGACTGAAGCGCCCGATCACGGAGTATGGAAAAAGTGAAGTAAAGACGAAAACAAAACAGCTTAATTAATTAATCACAACTACAAAATATCCATGAATAACAACGTATGTGGAATCACAATATCACAGCACGGAGATGACAATTATGCTAATAAAAACTGCAAAACAAATATAACAGCAAATAGGAAGATGCACATTTTCATCAGTGGCATGCGACGATAAACAACTTGTTCCAAATTCTGCGGTGGGACAATAAAAAAAAGTGGAAAAAAATACGTATTGTTTGCTTTAGCCTCATAAATGCAGTTGACCCTAAAACACTGCTTACCCGAAATGATACATATGATAATGTTAAAGAAAGAACTCTTGTACGTCATATATTGGATTGCTCCATTCGAGAGTTTTAAAACTAGAAGTCTCTTGTTGTAGTAGTTAGGCTACACATTACCACAAGTATAATTCAGCTTTCCGGTCAAAAAGAATACAAAGAGAAGGTTTGAGCACATGAAAAGAACAAGAACCATAGTTGAGCAAAAATGGCTTATTCTTAGCTCTCGTTTTAGAAAAAGAGCACGTTGGAAAGTATGTCAACGAAATTTCTATATGCGAAAACAAAAATCTTTTATTCTAACATTGCACAAAAAAAAATAAAGAGAGCGGCTGGTTGTAGACAGTAGTCTGCCTTAGTCACTTAGCCGCGCCAACCAATGCACGAGGGACTTGAAAACTACGAGACATACAGTTAAAACTATAAAATTACTCAATCATTGAAAACTTTCGAATGGGACAAGTCCAACTTTAACAAGTTTGAAACTTACGTTACATCTTTAACAGATACAAACCAGTACCGCAAAGTGAGAGTCCAATGATCACTCTCAACTTCATCCTAGTTCGACTCTCGGTCGGCTTCTGAAAGGTATTGAATGCTCTCAACGGGTTAAGTGTCCTTCTCTATAAGGCTTGGTAGTAGAGTGTAGCCACTAGTCCCTACTCCAACTGAGGACCCCAAAATGACACTTTTGCCATGGAAATCGTAATACAGCGTAGAATGGAAAGCTATGTTTGATAGCACGACGCAGTATTCAGCCAAGGCAAACATCGTGTAGACTCCCGGTTCACAGTACGTATTGTGCCTCCAATAAAGGTACACTGCAAGAACCATCGAGATAATAGATCCAGAACATGCCAAGATTTTGTATTCGTAGGACCGTTCACCCTGAAACAATATCTTTCATTAAAATAGAGAACTACAGTTGCTGCATGCGCGGTAATCATTACAAGATTTGTCGCACGGCGTCGACCGGAGTAGTGGAAAAGCCATGTACTGAGCAACATGTATACAGTGGCTGTTATAGCGAACCCAATAAAGCAGAATTTGTGCAGGGCTGAAAGACTGTGGAAACTGTAACATGGTAACAAGATACGACGAATTTAAGAAAAGCAGTGAAAATTTTAGCTACTCTCTTACTATGGTTTTCGACTGAAGAAATCGCAGTAAGTCCCTGTAGAAATAGGTTTTCGAAAAAGTTAAGAGTACATGCTATATTGCAGAGCAGTCTGAACACGCGCACCCCTGTCAGCGGTCGTAACGGTGAGAAAAGAAGATAGTTTCTGTAATGAACGAATACGGTGAATGTTGCAGATTCCACGGCTACAGTTCTAACAAATTCTAGATAACGTCAAAGTTGCATTCTAAAAATTTCTTGGGTAATTATCGTGAAGTATGAAGCGCTAGATATAGTATATTTACTACGAAAAAGAACAGGTAAAGATGGAACTGCAAAAAAAGCCGGCAATGTGGCCAGGCACGCAGCAAGCCCCTTCTTGATTGGCTGTATAAAATTTTCAGCTAGCTTAATTTTTGGAAAATTTGCGGAAAAATAGCTGTTCAACATTAGAAGTAAACAACTGTCAATTTCTTGGAATCTATTCTAGAGAAGGGAGACAAGCACCAAAAAAGATTAGAATGCAGATGATAAATAACACAAAAGGCCCGCCAATGACAAGGAAGAAAACGCGGAGCCAAAACATGAAGTATTACCTGAACGCAAATGCTACAATAAGTCGAGGTCCACCGTGTACTGCAATAAAAATACGCCATATGTACATTTCAGGAGCATATGTCGACACTGCTGCGGAAATTGATGGCAACCTTAGCTAGGAATTAGCAAAACCGGGAAAAAAACGAGAACCGTATTGGGAGAGACTCACCAGTTCTCAACTTCACAGTGGGTTCTTGTAGCCGATTCGAAATGCAACAACAAAGAGAATAGAACGCAAATAATTAAAGCAGATAAAGGTAGTCCTGCTACAATGTAGACAAATATTCGAAAGGGTACCGACAGAATATCATCGTCCCCATAAGCCATTGTTCTAACTTAAAAATATTCTAATATGAAATTGCCGATCGTAAACAATAGTCAGTGGAAAAAAGTACAGAACGTGCAAAAAAAAAAAAAAAAACGTTTTAAGAAACTAATTATCGCATCTCAACAGTGACACAGCCATGGACACCTCATGAATGGGTTAGCGACGAGATAATCGAAAAGATTAATGTCAGAGATTATGGAAAGGGCAGTGCAGACGGTGCATTTCGGAAAGATATGAACTCAGATAAACTGCAATAACTTCTGGGTCGATACCATGGTAAGACATGCATATATGAGTAAACATTTATGTCAAAACAATGAGATAATGAAATAATGTCCTGGATATATCCAAATCTTAGCACTTCAGATAACAGATGCATTGTTAGCTATCGATACCGTCCCTTCCACTCAATGTCATAACGAGAAAGCCAACTTGTGCAGTTCTGCATATTATATTTGATAACGCGTTCCCAATTGAACGGGTTTTGATTATGTTTAGCTATCTCTTCTT